TACCCTCAGCACTTACCTTGATAAACTTCTGATCGGATAATGCCACACCTTTGCCGCTACTGCAATAGAGCATTCACGCGTTCGGATAACAAAGAGCGTCACGAGAAAAATTCATGCGTGAACTCAAGGGTCAATCCAAATCAATGGTTCCCTTCAACTGTGAATACCCATTCCATTCCAACCGTGACTACAGACCCGATTCAGGCGTTCGATCTATCACAAAGGTGGTGTGAGGGATTCAAATTCAAATCACCCAGTAGCATATTAATCGTGGGACCTTCGGGATGCGGTAAAACTTGTTTCACCAAATCATTACTGCTACAACATTTGGATGAATTGTTTGCGTCACCCCCTGCCGTCATTCACTACTGTTACGGTGCTTGGCAAGATGGATACCGTGAGAAGTGATACCGTGACAAGTTGGTAACTGTCCTATATTTTAATTTTATTCACCACACCACCCCTACCCCACTCCCCCCCACAAAAAGGGAAATAATATAAATTTGTATATTTACATCTCATTATATGCTTTGCCCAGCTGCACTAATCTTTAACTGTAACATTTAAAAAACGAATATTAAAAACGGGTAAGCAGAGCCCAAAATTTCTATAAATTTATGGTCCTTCTTTCAACTTGATCCAGTTTAGTTCAAAGCCAAAACATGTTATAATTTCAACTGTATAACTGTCAAAATGTCTAGTCCTCAAGTCCTTGAGGCTTAATCATGTCATCACCACTTCCATCAATAGTGATTAAGCATCCTGTTTTCTGAAGAAGCCTCTTGATAAAATCTGTCCTTCACCAGTACCCTCCATGCTGCACCTGCCCATTTTGTCATGAGGATTCTCCTCTGTCGTGCAGTTATTTTGTTGTGCCACAGTTCTAAATTATCCTTCTCTTCAAGCCATTTGTCCATCTCCTGTCCAATTTTGGTTTTCAGCATTTTACCAAACCGCATCAATGGGTTGTATCTTGTCAGTGTGGTTTTCAGGCAAAAGATATACAATAGTGTGTTGAGTTCATGTTTGCAAGTATTATGGCACTTCTTATCTTGTCGGAATGTTAAATTTTCAGCAAAGATAACTTTCTCTTCTGGTGAGTTGCAAATGCCTGGAGCATGTGTTTTGGTTACCCATTGCATATTAATATCACTGTCAATCCAGGCACAGCTTTGAAAGTAAACGTCAACCCCCTCATCATATTGAGCTTTCTCTTCTGTACTAACATTTCCTTTTCCCCGAAATACAATACCCGGCTTCACGTTTTGTTCACCCTCTGCCAGAATGCAAAGCTGCAAAGTAGCTTTCCTCTTGTCCAGGCCACTTGAGGGTTGTGAAACCCACACTTACTCACTCCCTTTCATTTCATAGGTTTTCTCTTGATCAATCACAAAAGGAAGGGGCACTTGATCGACATTATACCTGTTTTGGGGTAGCCAACGCCCATATTTACCATCCAGCTTAGCATTATTTCGCCGTCTTGTTGTTTTGAGGGATGTTCTAAGATTTCTGTGGAAACGCTGAATTGTCTCCTTACCGTCACTGGCTGCAGACTTTTTCTTGTTCGATCGTCTCCGAAAAGCAATGTTATGGCACTTTTTGAACCTCTGAAACCAGTTGTCACTAGCTTTGAATTTCTGAGCTGCCTCTTTTCCGTAACATGCCTCAACCTTTTCCTTCATTTTCTTTTTCAACCACAGTTTTGAAATCTTGCATCCTTTTGCTCTTCGGAGTTTAAACTCCATAACAACACGCTCAGCCGCAAGTGGAAACTTCTTGGCTTTTACTTTTCCACACACAAGTTGTCTTTGCCGTGTAGGACTGGCTGCGCCTTTTTTCTTCTTTGTCTTGTTGAGAGCTAGCTGACTTCGAAGTTTTACCCGGTCCTTGTTCCATTTAACTACCAATGATTTGCTGACCCCTCTTCTTTCTGCAACCTTTTCCCAAAGCTTTTTTGTCTTAAGCTCTTTCATAGTATCTAGAAGATCCAGACTTTTTATCTTGAAAGCTATGGTGTAAGATTTCCTCTAACTCGCTCCTCGACGATTGTTGGTCTTGATTCCAGATTCACGGTCCTCTATCTCGGTCAAATCGTATGTGGTTTCTAGAGTTTCTTCGTCCACATCTTTCTGATCAGTACCTTGGTTAGCACTGTTTGAATTTTTCCATGAAGAGCTGCTTTGGCTGAGTTTTGATCTCGGCAGCTGATCTGGATGTTTGAATCGCACGTGAGTAGCGAGACATTTCTCCTCCGCAAACGAATCGTGGCAAATTTCACACTTTACGAGCTTGTCAGGAAGCTCGACTGTCTTTGAAAGGCCTGCAGATACATCAAAGAGCTTGCCACTTTTTGTTTCAACTTGTTTCTTGAAACCAAAGTGGAATAAAGTGTGATTCATTTCCTAAGCTGGAGAAAGTCTAGTCGAGAAATCTCACAGCTGTCAGGCTCACGTGTGTTGAAGCGCGAAGCCCTGAAGCATTGTGTTTACGTTACTGCTGGACAGGAAATGACGTATTTCTGGAAACTCAATGCAAATGGCCAGCGGTACTACCCAAACTCTTCACACATCCTTGTCGAAAACAACTCACAAATCGTGCAAAATTGAGCTGTTTCCGTAACTTTGTTTGCCGCATCATTTGGCACAAGCTAGAAATTGATAATGTCTGGAGTGCATGAGGTGTTTGTGGAGTCAAGTGTTCGAGATTATCACGCATACTTTAAATATTCGACTGTACATGTAGGGGATGTCATGATGTGCGAAATTGAAGACGACAATCCCCATGACAAATATGCCGTGGCAGTGAAGAATGAATCTGGTCAAACTGTGGGTCATATACCTATTGAGATTTCGAAGATTATGAACAAGTTTATTCGTGACTGTGGAGAGGTTGAGTGCATTGGACACAAATATAATGTTGGCCAAGGAAAAGGACTCGAGATTCTTGTGGACCATAGGCTGATTAGGAATCAGCAGTAACTACAGAGAGTAGTGAGAAGGCTGAAAAGAAAAGATCTGGATTTCAATATCAGTGACATTAAGAAATGTGACACAGAGTAACTGAATATGCATATCAATGTATCCTTCTTTTTAACCTGGAACTTCTGCATCAAAATATTTAAATACATTTTTTTTTTATTATTGTTGCTATTTGTATTACTAGCTTCACTGCATTTACCATACAGTAGTGTGGATCTACACTTGCTTAGTATGCTTTGTAACTACATATTTTGCACTCATTTTTCTTATGAAAGTCATGTTTTACAGCAATGGCAATCTGGTTTTCCTTCGATTATGATTACAGTAAATAATTTCAGTGTACCTGTAATGTACTATATGATTTTAGAAAATAAGAACCTATTAGGCTAAATAGGTTCTTGTTTACAGGGGGTATAAATGGCAAATTTTAGGCTAACAGGTTCTTAATTTTTAGGTTCTTACTTGCGGGTTTTTATCGTAAATCACAGTTCATTTGTTCCGTCCATTTAAGTTTCACTCATGATTTCGTAGACATCTCGATTTATCTTTCCATTACGATAAAATTTCCATTGGCTTGCTGTTCGCAGAATTCTTCAAATAATTTCCACTCGTATTTCGTCTTTTTCACAGTGTTTGACCACCCTTCATAGAGTAACAGGCTCTGGTACATCCAACATGGCCGCTTTTTTTCTTTAATACCATTCATTTCACGCACTGATTTCAGGCTAATAACGTCAAATTGTGACTACCTGGTGCTTTAAAGGTACTTAATACATACGGGGTTACCTGTTTTTCTTTTTGTTGTTGTTGTTTTATTTTTTCGTCAGTGACTCCACGATCATTTCATTTTGCGTCAGAATAGAATATTCCGCGTCAATGACGTAAAAACGCGGCCTGGATTGAACACTGTAGTACTGTGATAAAATTCGCGTCAGTAATCCATAGCAATGTTTAAAGAGGCAATTAGTACTGTATTGTAAGTAGCGTTAGTAATTTCATGTAACATTCAGTGATGTCACTGTAATTATTTAAAACAAACAACAACGCCAACAAAAACAATAACAAAGAGACAAAGTGAAGTACTAACAGACAACCACTCCTTTAACCTGAGCTCAACCAAAAATTTAACTTTAGTTTAAACTTCTGGATGAATTGCATCTTGTTCTCTACTGTTATAACCCACCCATTAAATTTGGCGCGATTTTATTGCTTACTTTACGTCACGTGGTGCAAAATCACTGGACAGTTATCACGCAATAACCCCCGTCCGCGCCAATATTTGTCCTCCGATTTTTTCCGTGAAAAAGAAACATAGTCAACACAAGAGTTTCAACTTTTCCGTTCTTCTATTTACATGGAAGGAAACCAAACTTTTTTTTTTGGCTTGCTTGCGTCAGTCACGCGCATTCGCCACCAGATCACCACTGGCTTTTTTACTGTGTTTACGCGCAGTTTAATTGCGATGTGAAAATTAATGGGAGGATTATAAAATAAATAAACCCCGTTCTGGCTTGCTGGTATGTCGGCTGATAATGTCCTTGGCTGAGAGGTTGTCCTCAAAATTTCATATTTGCCCTCGAAGCTTCGCTTCTCGGCCAAATATTCATTTTTCGGACAATCTCTCAGCCGCGGACATTATCAGCCGACATACCAGCCGCCCGAAGGGGTTTATTTACTAAATATTTCCCGGTTTTAGCTGGGGCATATTCGGTCCCACAAAGCATTTCGACCAATTGCGCGCGAGCAAAATATTCGATGTATTATAAACTTCAAAAGATTATAAGCAAGAACCAACCAAAAT